CTCAATTTTTATCTCTTATAAAATTTAACTCTACAAGATAATATACTCTATGCTTTGGCACATTTCATAGTTCATTAAGCAATGGAAAGTAGAGTGTATAAAACAATGTGTCTAGTTTCATTTGTTATTTTGTGTTTCTTAACAAAAGTATATTGGCATTAGTTATGAATATGTTTGTTTCAGAATTCAAGAACTTCAACAGGAAGTCCACCAGTTACAAGAAAAATTAGCAATGATGGAAAGTGGACTGAAAGATTATAACAAGCAGGTAGGATTTTTATTTATTTGCATACTAGGGATTGAGATGACTATGCCATGATTGTATACAGAATTGGGTTATATTATTTGATATTACGGATACTGAGTTTTTATACAGCTTTTATCTTTTTCATTAATTTCTTAATAGCGTTAATAGCTGGAATGGCTTAGATGGCTTTAGAGCAATTCTAGTCCATTTCCTTCATTATGCATTGAGGTGAATAGTAGTTTTCGTTTTGTTATTTTGTTTTCTTTTAGGTGAACTGTCTATTTCCCCAAATGTAATTTTATAACCATATTACTGCTTCCATCTCAGGAGGTATTTTATTGAAGCATGCTGTGCTTTATAATCATCTTTTTAGTCATTTTTTTACTCATAGATTTTGTCATTTTGAACATAAATTTCCTTGAAAGCTACTCTTCAGTGTTGCCATAATATTTGTGTTTTCTCTGCAAGCACTGGCATCTCGTAAAACAGTGTTCTGAAGAAGCAGAGGAATTAATAGATATAGAGTTCGATGATAACCATACAAGCGGTGTTCTTTTATACTTTCTGTTTGTGTCTTGACTAAATTCTGATTTGGGTAATCACAGGTTTTCTTTCTTAATATGCTTACTGAAGTTTAAATTGGGTAACATGTTTTTCATTTTCTGCCTTTTTTTGGAGTGATGTGATCTGCACATGCAAATGTAGATGTAACTTATGTGTTGGTATAACTCTTGTTTGTAAAGTACTTTGAAGATGATTTGGATTAAAATGGAGTTAAAAGGCATCATAATAAGGTCAGCCAAAAAACTTGCTTAATGGAGAGTTGTCGAAAATATCAAATATGTGCATGAGTTGAATATTATTGGCATTTTTCAACTCATAATTACACTTTTATCACATTTTTTTTCCAAGTACTTTATGAGCAGAAACCTACCAGTCTTTACCATCTCTGTGAGATGGCTAAAGTGTTTGGAGAAAATAGTCTGGCCTTACGATTGAAACCGCCAAGTTACTGTGGTTATTAATCTTAGCTGAGTCCACTCTGCTATCTTTTTCCTTTTTTTTTGGCTTGAGTTCTGTTTTTCTCAGTATATATTCTAAATTTTTCTGTTCTCTTTAAGCTCTTTTCCCAACCTATAATACTGTCCTTCTCAGAATATCACCTGTCTCAACTTCTTATCTCTACTTTAAAATTAGCAGTATCCATGCTCAGGCTCTTAAGATTTAATGGGTAGGGTGGCTCTCCTCCTGGCTAAGGCTTATTAGTCTTTCTGCCTGTTTTTGGCCCCATTTCCTCCCTCGTCTGTAGGACCTTGCTTCAATCAATTATTCTTTCTTTAACAAACACTTATATGGCTACTTTATAATAATTATTTTAGTCTTCATAACAGTCATGAGAAGGTGCTATTATTGTCATCACTACCGTTCCTTAAAAAAAAAAAATTTTTTTTAACTACCGTATTTTGCTGTGTATAATGTGCTCCCATGTATAATGCATACCCACGTTTTTGCCCAAAATTCAGGGGAAAAAATCTTTCATTTTAATTTTTGAATTAAAATTTTTATCTGTTTACATTTAGGTACTTGTTTTTTGTATTTAAAGGAATTTTAGCATTTATTTTTTAACATATTATGGTACAAGAAATTTTATGTAACAAATAATTACAAAACAGAAGAACAGATAATAGGTACAAGAAGTTTTATGTACCGGTAACAAATTTACGATATTTATGCATCATGTAAAGCCAAGAACTCTTTGTTGTAAGTTCAACAAAACCGATGATCGTATTCCAGGGTATTATTTTTGCATATGGATATCGTTATTGATTTCTAGAGTTACACATTTAACTCATAAGCATAAATAAAAGAATTTAAAAAAATTTATATATGTATACGGAGTTAGTACTACCCATGTATAATGCACATCCTTAGTTTTTCCTCACAAATTTGGGCAAAAAAGTGCGCAATATGCACAGCAAAATAACA